AAAATGTCGTGAGTTGAAGCCTGATCCACATTTGAAGATTTAGTTGAGGCTCAGGTAGAAAATGAATATAAGTGGGGTACACAGAGGCAGGGGCTTTGAGAAGAGACTGGGGTTAGACAAGGTGGTGCGGGCGAGGCCCATGACTGAATCCTCTCTCCACCATCTCGGCAATGATGTCCTGTCCAGCCTGTACTCATCCAGCAAGAAGGCTGCCACCAGATGTGGCCCCTCGCCAGCAAACATCTAGAACCATCACCCAACAGAAACCCCTTTTCTTTGTGACTCACCTGTGGCGCTGGGACTGGGGCGGGCCAGGCCAGCGGTGCAGGAAAACCACTGGAGTCAGCGGTCCCAGCCCTGGGTAGAACACCGGGCAGAGTGGCACAGGTGGCAATGGTGGCGCGGCTCACACAGGGAAGGAAATCATGCCACCGCGCTCTCTCCCGGGTGCGGGCTCAGCACACCAGCCCACACCACTGAGGAGTGAGTGGGTCTGCCTGAGTTGAGGTGCAGGCAGTGTGCCCAGGTGGTCACCCGACCTGGAAAGAGGAGGTGGCCTCCATGCAGGGAGTTCAGGGGCTGTGGACAAACGTGGCTCTATCAGCAGCTAGCCACAGAGTTCACTGGAACCAACATCATTTGAGAAGATAGCTCCAGAAAATGAGAGCGGAGTAGGTGAATGTGTTTTTCTCAGATGACTTTCTGCTATGAAGACCACAGTGCCAGGAAGACCCAACACAGACTCAGAGATCTGCCCTGTTCACTGCCCAGCTCTGTGATGGCGACAACAAATCTACATTCTGAAAGCTTGTCTTCTTATGAGACTGTAGCCATAACTGGAGAAAATCTAAAAACTTATAAAAATGTAATGGTAAGACTTGGAAAAAATTATATTAAGTGAAGTAAGCCAGCCCCAAAGAAAAGCAGGTGGCACGATCTCCCTCATTTGTAAGAACTAGGTTATGTATATGATATATATATACATATATATCATATATACATATATATACGTGTGTGTGTGTATATATATATATATATATATATATATATATATATATATATATATATATATATTTTTTTTTTTTTTTGGTCCGGTCGTGGGCCTGAACTCTGGGCCTGGGCACTGTACCTCAGCTCTTCAGCTCAAGGCTAGCCCTCCACCACTTGAGCCATAGCACCACTTCCAATGTATATGATATTCTTAACAGGGCTCTCTTAACAGTGCTCAGTGCAAAAGTCTATATAAAATGAAGCAGATTAATGTGAACCCCCATTTATGGAGACAAGAGGCTCTCATTAGACCCAGTCCACAGTTCATTCTTTTTTCTCTATTGTTTGTATTTCTTTCTTCAGTTCTTAGTTCTTTGCACCTCGTGTTTTGTATAACAGGCAATGCCGTGTGTGAAAGGGAGAGGGAGGCACAGAGCAGCAGAACAGATGAGCCACAGCAACATTGACGGCCACCTGACACTATGTGGGATAGGAACATTACGACCTGAGGGGCAGGGGTAGGTGGGAGATGGAGAGGGATGGGGTAGCAGTGATTAAAAACAAATGCACTTATCGCCTTACTTCTGTGACTGTAACCCCTGCTCATCACCTTCTCAATTAAAAAAAGATGTGAGGGTAAAAGCATTTTTCTTCAAATGGAAACATTTCTCCAACTATCTGCAAAGGTGAAAATCAGTATCTACTCAAGATGCCCACCCAGAGGCAGTGGCTGGCTTATGGGGGGCAGATCACTAGGGTTCTCAAGTCCGGAATGTGTCCTGGCATAAACAATGAAGCTAACTCAATCACTCTCATTCACTGTAGCCTCTGCCAGGTCACGGAGAACAGCAGTGTGGCATTCACATGGCGCGTCTGGCGTGTGCCGCGGTCTCCTGAGGCAGCAGGTGCGTCTGCTGATTGTACCAGGCAGCAGTGACTCAGACGCCAGTCAACATGACTCACCGTGCAGCCTGAGGTGTCTACGATGACTCGCACACCCAATGAATTCCACAGGCGGTGACACGGGTCGGGATACGTCGCAGACATGACCATAAATATCACAGTGGACACAATCAACACACCCCTCCCCCGGCCCCATAGCTAATGTATGGGAATAAGAAAGTTAAAAAAAATTCTTTGACAGGCTTTTAGAAAGTAAACCCCTCTAAAATCAGAACTATTGCTTTAATATTTCACAAACAGACCTGACACACGATGGTGAAAGTAGCAGTGCCTGTACGAGACCATGCCCTTCGGCCTTATCCAAAAGCTAAACCTGTCTTCATCAGACACACCAGTCTGCTGTCTGTGTCCTTTCTTTGCCTCTCAGAGACAGGCTGGCTGCTTCCAGTGTGGGTGATAATGAGCAGAAGTATTATAAACATTCACATGCAGGTTTCCACGTGAACGCGCGCTCTTAGTCCTCTAGGCAAAGGTGAGGGAGCGGCTGGGTCACATGGCTTGGTGGACTTCAACTGAAAAGCAACTGCCAGCCTCTTGGAGCGGCCTTACAGGTGGCATTCCGCTCCCGTGCGAGCTCCCGTGTTCCCAGTCTACCCAGCTTGTGGCTCTGTCAGTCTTTCAGATCCAGCCATTCCACAGGTGTGCAGGGCTTTTGTTTGTATTTGCATAAGGGCTAATGATTCTGAACATCCTTCCATGTGCTAATTTGCCACCAATCCACCATCTTCCTTCAGCAACATCTCTTCATGTCTGCTGACAATTTTTAAACTGTGTTTGGGAGTCCCACTGATCAGTTTTTCCTGTATAGTTGTATTTTCCTATATAGTTATATTTTCCTGCAGAGCTTCCCAGCTCTGGCTGTCAAGTTGCTGGGAAAGAACAGGAGAGGAATGGGGCTTCCTTGTCCTAAGGCCAAGAGTACATCAAGAGAGGACACAGACGGGTCATCTGGAGCTCTGTCCTTGAGGTCAGCCTGCTAGCCTGGCTCCTCGAGGTCAGCCTGCTAGCCTGGCTCCTCCAGGTCAGCCTGCTAGCCTGGCTCCTCGAGGTCAGCCTGCTAGCCTGGCTCCTCGAGGTCAGCCTGCTAGCCTGGCTCCTCGAGGTCAGCCTGCTAGCCTGGCTCCTCGAGGTCAGCCTGCTAGCCTGGCTCCTCGAGGTCAGCCTGCTAGCCTGGCTCCTCGAGGTCAGCCTGCTAGCCTGGCTCCTCGAGGTCAGCCTGCTAGCCTGGCTCCTCGAGGTCAGCCTGCTAGCCTGGCACAGATGCCACTCAAGAAGCTGAGACAAACAAAGAGCCAGGTTCTTCTTGTTAATATAAGAGGGTTTCATTGAACAACTTAAAAAAAAAATCATTCAGGGGCGGGGCTCAATGTTAGAGCAAGTGCTTAACATGTGCAAGGCTCCAAATTCCATTCCCAGCAACTCACACAGATCACTGTGTTCATCACTGGGTGATGTTTATTTTAGATACTTAGAGCATATACCATCGTTATTTTTCTCCCCACACTCTGCTTGTGTGTTAGTACTGGGGCCTGAACTCAAGACCTAGGCACTGTCCCTTAACTTTTTCACTCCAGGCTGGTGATCTACCACTTGAATCACACCTCCACTTTTGGTGCGCGCGCGCGCGCGTGTGTGTGTGTGTGTGTGTGTTTCTGGAGTAAGACTATCATGGACTCTTCTGCCCGGGCTCCACTTTGGCGCGTGTCGTGCGCGTGGTTTTCTGGAGAAGACTATCATGGACTCTTCTGCCCGGGCTGGCTTCAAACTGTTACCCTCAGATAGCAGCTTCCTGAGTAGCTAGGATTACAGAATAAACTGCACCTGGACGCCCCGACCCCAGTGTTGGACAGGACCCTGTTCCTGGCACTTGCTAAGTGTTTGCTCTGCTGCTGAGGCCCATATCCAGCCCATACACGGGTCCTTTTGTGTTTTTCTTAGAATGATGGATTTGTACACACACATTTGGAAAATTTGTCCCACTGAACAATGGCGTGGCAGGCTGTTCCCGACCTCTGAGGAAGGCAGTCCACCAAGCGTCCACTGAAGGAGGGGACACAGCTGACTGCCCAATGGAACAGATGCGTTCAGGTGTCCTCACACACACAGTGGGGGCTTTACCAGGAGGGCCTTGGAAGAAGCTTTGCGTTTCTTACCTAATAACTTCAGGCCTTGGTTATCTTAACAAGTAACTTCTTCTGTGTATTAGAACTTGGCAAACAATCAGTGACCTGGCAGGCCAATCCTGGGAGACTGGGGGTTCAGAGAACAGTTTCCTATAACTCCTCAATTTTTCTGTATTGCTGAGATGAGTCAGGATGACCTGAGAGTAGCCAAATCATTGAAATGTATATAACCTATATAACCAGTAAGATAGATACCTATTTTTTTTTTAACGCACATACAAACAAGCCCTCCAAATGCAGGTCAAGTTTAGAGTTACAATATGCCGTTTTTGGCCCAAAGAGACGAACACATTGCTCAAGAAACCTGGAAGCCCTGGGGTGGGAAAGCGACACAGGTATTTGGTCCAGTTTTTGGAATTGGTCTGCTCTAGACAGAAAAATGGCTAGGGGCAGGAGGGGGGCAAGGGTAGAAACAGAGGTGTGGGTAGAGCTGTAGGGACAGGTAGAGGGAGAGTGAGGTGAAGAAAGTGTCCGGGTTACAGAACACTGAACGTCAAGTTCAGGTTTAAGGAAATGAGGTCAGAGCGCAACCACAGTCCGGCTGCTGCAGCCCAGAAGGCAGAGATGGTCTGTGCAGAGCTCTGCTCTGCTCTGCTTAGAGTCTGCAGTATTTTAAACATCCTTAAGAATCAAGCCTTTTCATCATTTGCCTTTTAATCTGGTCCCACACTGGCCACCACCTACACTAAGTACCAGTGCTACCACCACAAACAGCTTTAATCAGAGAACAGAAGGACATATCCACATGAAAGGGAAACGGCCTCACATTGAGAGAAAGCACTTCTGAGAACCAAGAGCTAGAGAGAGAAAGGAAGGGAACCCCTCAGATCCAGACTGCCACCAGGGGCTTCAAAATCTACTTACTTTTCTATCAAATCCAGGGTGACTCCAGGCACCAGGCTGACACACTTCTGCATGCAAAACCTGTAGAGAAAGGAAAGAACGTGAGTAGCGTGAATGGAACATGTAATGAAAAAGCAAAGGGCCGTTGGCAAAGGTAGCATTTAAAGGTGAGGTTAGGAACAGCCACGGTAAACAAATAGACTCTAATTACAGCTGGATTTAAGAAGAAAATCTAACTGCCAGCTGGTGAAAGGTGCGAGACTGCAGCACTGCATCCATGAGCTGCCTGCAAAGGAAAGGAGTCTGTATGCAGACTCAGTGAAGCCATCCCTGGAGACAAGCTCTGAGATGTGACATACAACAAGGCTTCCAAACTCAATCATGGGAAGCAGCCTGGACTTTTCTTTTTCCTACTTCAGAAGGTGAGCTGGGGGTGCTGGAGGCGCAGGTGAAAAACCTGGAGGCACACACAAGGAGCCGGGAGAAGATGAAGGACCACAAACTCAATGGCACTGTTTTAGCCATCACAAAGTCACGGGAGTCAGAGCTGAGAGACTTAACATCTGCAGGCAGGTCCACTCTCTAGCGCAAGAGCAGAATGGACAAGCTCGGCCTCACCTGTGCACCCTGACAGAGGGCAGGAAACCATCTTTCCCTTCTGTCAGGGCTATCGACACAGCAGGGCAGAATCAATGGCAATGTTGAGAAAAAAGGCAAGTGGATGTTTCTAACAGGAGAAATGTAAATGCTTGATTTCTCCATGCTTAAAATTAAGATCAAGTTGTCCCCTTCAAGCACAGCAGCAGGCAAACAGCAAATACAGATGCCCCCTGATGTAAGAGGGTTTGAGTAGCAAATTGTCACCTTATTTACAATAAGCATGCAGTACAAACTGTACTTAGAATTTTGAATTCGGATCGTAACAGGTACTTAAAACTGCTTCGCTGCAAAGCACTGACTCTTAGTTGGGTCCAGGAATTAACCAAAAGCAGGAGAGGAGCCTGGCATCTCTGCCTCCATTTTGTGTGTCTCTGCTCTAAGCCATTATCTCTGCAGTCACCTTGGAATCCAGCAAGGACAGGACTGATCAATAACAGGTTTACAGGGAAGGATGGAAAAAAACTGCCCCCAAGAAAAGACACAGCAGAGACCTGCGGGACAGACCACCTGCGGGGCCAGGACACGTGCTTGTCCGCTCACAGATGACAGTGATAATAAACTCTCCTCCAGAACCTGCCCCAAAGAAGGGCTGAGCCAACGATCTGCCCAAACACACCAGGACTGCTCAGGAATAGCCCCTCTGCCTTCCGTTGTCTACTAAGCCTAGAACGCAGGCCTGGCTGCCCGGGCCCTGTCCACTGGCTCCTTTTCTGCGCTTCACTGAGCTCTCTTCTTTTCCAGGCAGACAGGTGAGGGCTCCTCCCGATGAGTGAAACCAGGAGTCAGGCCTGGCATCGAAAGTCCAGCTCCACCATCTTGCCCTGGTTTAGCGATAGGCAGCTAATGCCTTCCTTCCTTCCTTCCTTCCTGTGGAGCTGAGCAGCATGGGCATCCCCTGAGGTGGGAGCAGCTGGCCACAGCAGCTGGCACCCCCGTTCTAGAAGGTGCACGGGGGCGTGGCAAAGCAAGCCTGTCAGCCTGGGCAGGAGGCTTGTATGCATCTCCCACTTAGGATGTCTTACTTAAAGATGGAGTGATGAAGCATTTACAAAACTTATCGCTGCTGGGCCCTGAGCTCTGGACAGGGGACCAGTACAAGCACCTGGGGACAGCCAAGGGACAAACGGCAGGGACTGCTTTGTGGAGCACCAGACAGCAGTGGGTTAGGAGAAGGAGAGACATAAAGGAGGGAAAGTTCCAGACCAGAAAGACAACACTTGGTCACACACACAGTATGTGGCAGACGAGCGGCCCCTGTCCCGGGGCAGCCTCCGGGGAGACGCAGGGGAGAGCCGGCTGCCCAGAACCCGGCACAACCACATGCCCTCATGCCTCCAGAAGCAAGGCACGGCGTGGCCAGCAGAGAGAAAAAATGGTTTTTGTGTTGGTGGCAGCACCTAGTGCTTCACTGTACCAAGGCCCACGCCTGGCTCGCTGCTCCAGTCCCGGCAGGGCCAGCGCGGGGACGGGAGCCGGGCCAGGGCACGGTGGTGGCAATCTCTAGGCGGAGGAACACACCCCGCCAGCAGTGGCTCTCCAGGTCTGAGCCTTCCACAAGCCCTGCAACTTGTTTGTTTCTTCATCCATAATGTACTTATCGACTGGGATTTCTGGAGTTCGGTAATGACAGAATTATTTGTATCAGACTAATCCTTTTGCCAATAGCAATAATAAACTGAAAGGAATAAAAAAAAAACAAAACCTGCCACTTGAAAATAACAAAGACCAAACAGACGGAGGCAGGACTGGCAGGACTGTGACCCTTGTAAAGGAGAAAGAATCTCTGGACGAGTCACCGCGGATGCACCCACAACTCACACGGCACAGCGGGCTGGGGACCACGCGCCACGCAGAGGCAGCGCGCAGTCTTCCTGCGCAGAGCCAGAGATCAAGATAAATGGTGGATGGCCTCAGAAAGGAGGGAGCACTAAGATCTGCATGCAAACCTTTCTTAAGCCCCCAGGTGAGCTGCAAATCAGACACAGGGCATAACTCCAAGACTGCCCCCTTTCGTGGAGGACACCCCAAAGAATGAAAATGTCCAGGAGACTATAGCTTCTGACAGTGAGAAGGTGGAAGGGAGGTTAAGTCCCGTCAAAGGAGAGCCTGAGCGAGCCCTGGGCTTTCACGGATGCTCACAAGCCAGATTCCAGGATACAGAGCCACACCACGGACCAGAGACCAGCCAGTCTACGACCGAGCCTCTGCACACCCCTCTGCCTTTGAGGAGCCCAGAGGAAGTCCAGGACTAAGGTGGAGAGTGGGTTTAGTGATACTTGTTACACTACAAAGTAAGTTTCACCCAAGTACTTAAAATCAAGCCAACTATGGCTAGTGTGGCGTGAAGCAAGAGCAAGGTGAGCCCAGCTCTGCGGTCCGGCCCCTGGAGAGGCTGGGCACTCGGGGAGGCTCGCCGAGTCCCGCGCTGCTATGCTTGTCCCTTTCTGCACTCTGAGCCATTAGCATGCGCCCTTGTCCGTGTCTGCACACGGACCCTGGCACAGCCGTCAGGCTCCTGGCAGCCAAGCGCTCACCTGTGCTGCACACCACCGTAGAGCAGGTGAGCCGGTGCACCTGCAGAATAACGCGAGGCCTTCCGACCAGCGTCCACACGGAGAGCCGAGCCCTGCCAAGTCGGAAGGGACACTGCGGCCCCTCCCCTGCAGACATGGGTGCTGTGACATTTTCAGTATTGATTTGAGTGTGTGTATCATTTGGGAGTCAGCCCTTTGGCTCAACACTCATGTTCTCGTTAATAGTTAGTCACTGGATTTTATTGGGTTCTTTCTGCAACGCTGATATTCAGATCAGACATAAATAATGCAAATTTGCTTTCCTTCAGGATACACACACACACTCACACACACACCTTTCATTTCGTTTTTTCCATCTAATCATATCGACCAGCGTTTCCGGAACACATCCTGCAATAATTGAGCTGGTCCTAATTACAACAGAGGAGAGCCCGCGCTGCAGGTCCTGGTGGCTGCCAGGCAAGGAGGAAACTCCTCCGAAGCCAAGAAAGAGCTCTGCCCACTTCTTCACCAGTTTTCATAGAACTTGACCTATTGCAATGACTTGTGCTGGCAGTGACCCCCTCTGGAGGCTGAGGTAGAGAGAGGACTCTGAGTTTGAGGATAGTTTCGGATACATAGTAAGACTGTCGCAAAGAGCAATAGAGAAGCAATGAAAAAACAAAGATTAAGTTATTACTAGATGGCCTGGTAGGAAACGCTAGCCCTGCCCTGCACAGCCTCCCCGGCCAACATTTACGAGTCATTTAACACGTTGTAGTTGACTAATCCTTGATGTGGACCCATCTGTCTCGAGTGTGATGCATGTGTATGTGCTGAATCTGTCAGGTCTGGTATATTCCAGTTATAGTAACTCTAAAAATACAGGGAGCTTATACTTGTTGAAATATGGCATGTTCTTAAATATTGTTTCGTTGCCACTTGTTCTTTTAAAAATAATTGTCGGTAAGATCCCTCATTCGCTTTATTGCTTGTACATCTCATTATTTTTCATTACTTTCTATTTCCCAGAATACCTATTCTACCAACGAATGATTTTAAAGTCACTTAAATTTTGCAACTGAATTATCTGATTTCCTAAAGTTTTCCTAGTCTTCATTAGTTCTCTGCTATTCTTTTGCCTTGTCAAGGCTTACTTTTCTGCTTCCGCACAGACTCCCGTTTTCTCACTTCAGAGAGGAAAGACAAAGCTAAACCTCGCTTCTGCTTCCGATCTAACAGGCGCCTTCTCCCAGGCTCTGTGCTGTGTTACGAAAGAACCCTCGCCCCTTGATGCGTGCTGTCCTCTGGCTCCCCCGGGATGAAGGACTCGCGGGCTCAGCACAGTGTGTCTCCGGCTCATGCAGAGCCAGCCCACCAGCCCACCAGCCCAGCTCCACTGCTCTGGAGAGCACCAAAGACGGGGGGGGGGGGGGGGGGGGGGCGGGGCGGCGCGTGTGCCTCCCTCGGCTCTATGGCCAGCGGGAAAGATGCGAAGTCACTGTCCACTTGCTCCCTTCCTGGAGGGAAGGAGGGTGGGTGTCCCACCTTGGGCCTTTCTGTGCTTTGGCCCATTGGGTCACAGATGTGGCAGAAACACTTCAGAATTTGGGTAGTGCCTTATGGACATTACTGCCCACTTCCAGCCACCACTAAATGTCTTTCGCTCAATTTGGCCAGTTTTGTGGGGCCATCTGACATCCCAGCATCCTCCAGTGGTTCAGTTCTGGCCCTGCTGGGAGTGTGCAAGGCCCCGGGGCATGGGCTCAGGGCTAAGATTGCCCTCCCTCAGGAGCCGGTCGCTGTCCCGTGCACCCGTGCTTCCGGGCTGCTGCCGGAGGGGTGGCCAGAGGTCAGTGCAGGTCTGGTACCAATCCGGAGGTCTCAAACTCTCCTGGGGGGCTAGCG